ATAATTTCCACTGGGTAAAGTGAGCAAGACAGATCTTTGAGTTCTGTTCCACCTCATGGCTGTGGGCAAACACTGAAGTCAGCTGTGAGAAGGGTGCAAGTATAGACTGTTTCTATCACCTTCTAGTCTGGCAAGTGTCAAGTCTCAACGCTTACAGCCACAAAACAGGGATGACAAGACTTGCATTGCGGAGAACCAAATAAGATGATGTAAATAAGAAAGAAATCAATTCATAATTGCATATTAAAATTTCAGCTGTCATCTGTATTATCATTAATGATGATATTTCCCATCCAAACAAGAAGCAAAATTTTCCAACATTCATGAATGAACCAAATGAAAGTTGCCTTAATAAGCCCTCATAATTTTCTCTTTCTGTTACCTTTTTGAAGATTAATAAACCATAGTAAAATGTTAGATAAGTGTGTTTATATTTATATATATATATATCTGACAGTATTCTCTGCAAACTCTCTAAGGTTTAAGTGACAAACTACCAAAACTGGCCTAATAAGGACCTTTCCTGAGAACACTGAAAAGACAAACAGAAATCTATAAAAAAAAAAAAAAAAAAAGTTGAATATTCTGCCAAAGTAATTCTTATGTTAGAATGCTGAGCCTTGTGTTACAAATGCTTAAGGCCTATGTAAATTATGTGGATTTATGCAGAATTTATTTGCATACTCTGATCAAATAACTGTGTTCTCCACAAGCTACAGTCATTTTGACAGCTTGAGATGAAGTAGTGGTTCCCATTATTAGCCTAATTAATGCAACAGAGCCAGAATAAAGTTAAGGCTTTAACAGCAGTTTTAGGAGAATTCAAAGTGGTGAATATGCATTATCATTTGCACTTGAACTAGAGGGGAGAAGAGCTGATGAAGCTCTGGGCTGGCCCCTTCTCAGTCAACCTCTCCCTCCACGCCGCAGCTTATTGTACCAGAAGTCTTGCTGTTATGTGTTGGATGCAATGCATATTTCTCAACGCATATTTCTCTCAGTGGGTTATGTTGCTTTAATATCAGAGGTTAGATGGAAAAGCTGTTTCTCTTCAGCTCCTTCCACTCATATATTCTTCTCTTACACTGAAATAAATACATTCTGAAACTTCACTCTGTAACTATAGAAACCCTGATCTTCACTGTGTTTCAGTTGGAAACACAAAAGAGCTCTCAGTAAAGAGCAGGCTGTTAATTACAGATCTATGAATAGCTTAGACTTCATAAGCCATTAAATTTCTATAGATTCAGGATTTTTTCTCTCTCACTCATTCTTTTCTTTCCTCAGAAAAGGAAAAGTGAAGTTAAAGCTAGTCACATTCAAACAAAGTCATATTAAAATAGTGTACTAAATACAATTTTTGTTTAACTACCAGCTTTTGAGGATCTGTTTTTTAATGTATCACTGAGTGATGGATGCACTTGTCCTTGAGAAGCATACCTTATATACACAATACAAAAATAAGTAAAAGCTAAGAAATTAAACTGTAACATTGGCACAGAGATAAAATTAAGTGCTATTGTGGCTAACAGGAAAGAAAAATAATGTTTAACTAGTGACTTGGAAAATTCAGGGAAATTCTAAGATTCTTCTTTTACATCCCTGGCTTCCAAATGGGCTCAAGTCAAATTTTATTTTTCTGGCGTGTCAAGCTTTCTCCTTTCCTCTTCTAATTATCATTTCCCACCATTCATTGCTACAGCCTAGATTATAGAAAGAGCTTTTAAATAGGCCCCCAGTCTCCTCTTTTTTCTTCCCTTCTCAGAATGGTCCTCTATCCGCACCAGTATCTTTTTCCTTAAATCTGCTTGAGGTGCTAGAGAAATGGCTCAGCAGTTAATAGTGATTGCTGCACTTGCAGAGAACCAGAGTTTAATTCCCCTTATCTACATTAGATGGCTCACAAGGGCCTGTAACTCCAACTCCAGAGGATCTGACACCCTCTTCTGGCTTCTACAGGCACCCATATACATGTGAACATATATACATGCTTACCTACACACATACACATAAATAAATCTTTTTAAATTGGTTGGATTTTATCACTTTCTTATTTTTAATTTTTAAAAACTTATGTGTACGAGTGTTTTGCCTGCATGTATATAAGTGTACCACACACATGCAATGCTCACAGAAGTCAGAAAAGTGAAGCAGATCCCCTGGAACTGGAGTTACTGAAAGTTATTGGCTGCCACATGCATGCTGTGAACCACACCCAGGTCTTCTGCAAGATCAGCCAGTGCCCTTAAACTCTGAGTCCTCTCTCTAGCCCCATTGTGGTGGTTTGAATGAGTGTCTCCCATAGGCTCCAAGCCTTTGGAAAATTGTCCCTTTTTGATGGCACTGTTTTGGGAGATTTTAGGAGGTGTGGCCTTGATGGTTGAAGCAGGTCACTGGGGATGGGCTTTGACAGTTCTTAAGCCTTGCCAGATTTCCAGTTGCCCTCTACTTCCTGTGTCTGCTTGAAGATGTGAATGTTCAGCTTCTGCTCCAGCCACCTCTGCCACCATGCTACCCCACTAGCCCCCATTATGACTCTTACCCCTCTGGAAGCATTAAACGAAATGAACTCTTCTTTCTATAAGCTGTTTTGGTTAAGGTGTTTTACCACAGTAACAAGAAAGTAACTTAACACAGAAATTTGTTCCAGAAGAGGGGTGTTGCTATGAAGAAACTGACCACATGGGTTTGGGAAGAATGTGAAAGAATTTGGAAGTTTAGACTAGAAAAGTGGTTAAATGTTATAAGCAGAGCTTAATTGGCTGGTCTCAAAGGAATCTGGAAGAAAGTAGCTCTGAGAACAATGTAGTTCCAGAAAGAAATAAGAACTTAATCACCACCTGGGATGTTTTGGCAAAGCATATAGCTGCCATCTGCCCACCGTCTAAGAACTTGCCTGAGACCAAGTTGAAAAGTAATAGGCTAATTCCTTCAGTGGAGGAAATTTCAAGACTACCTAACTTTGAATCAGTGGTATGGTTATTAATGGTAAATATTATGCAGATCTACAATGAAAAAGAATGTGTGGGGCAGAAAGAAATACAGAAAAAGAGCAGTAGGAAGATTATTGTTGGACCCAAGTCATGTGCTAAAGAAGACTCTCTTTGATAAGGAGATTAGAGCCATGAGGGAAAGGCCCACAGATCTGTAATTAAACAATGGGAAGAGTACCTTCAAGGCAAGACTGCACCCAGCTAAGCCTCCAACTTGTGAAACAAATGCTGGAGGGGTTTTCTACTCCTAGAAAACCACAGCATAGAAAATCTGGGTGAAGAAAATGTGGATGAAGAAAATTTGGTTTCTACTCCTAGAAAACCACAGTGTAGAAAATGTGGATGAAGCAGGCCTGGGTCCATCCCAGGCTGGCGGCCAAACTTGGCAGTGTCATTCATGTGATGTTGGCTTCAGATGCACGAAAAATGCAATGAAGGGGTCATTGGCCCTTTCTCCATGGTTTCAGAGAGTCAACAAGGCCAGGGAGCAAGAAGCAGGGGGTCCCTGCATAAAGAAGACACTGGCAGGACATTGCATGAGGCTGTGAAGGGGAAGCTTGGTTGGTAGTGGAGACCCTAAGATACTAGAGATACTAGAGTATCTCTAGAGTACTAGAGTAAGGGGCATCTGCCAAGGAGAGCTGCATACAGGGAGTGGTTCTAACCCAAGAGAGAGTTGTATGTTGCCTGCAGTAAAGCCGGAGGGGCTGAGCTATCTAAGCCCTTTGGAAATAAACTCCAAGAAGTTAGACATGGAGCTATTGGATTTGGTGTTTCCCTGCTCATTTCCAGTCTTGTTTTGGTCCCCCATTCTTCCCTTTTGGAATAGAAAAGTGTATTCAGTTCCATTTTATGTTAGAAGTATGCAATTTGTCTTTTGATTTTACAGGGTCTTGCAGTTAAGAGATTTCCTTGAGTATCAGAAGAGAGTTTGAATTCTGGACTTTTGGATAGTATGGAGACTGGTAGAGCCTACGGGGACTTCTGAAAGTGGACCAAATGCACCTTTGGATTTTATATGATCATGAGTCTATGGGGGCAAGGGAGTGGGATATAGTGATTTGAATGAGTGTCCCCCATAGACTCTAAGTATTTGGACATTTTGTCCCCAGTTGGTGATGCTGTTTTGGGAGGTTTTAGGGGGTGCAGCCATGCTGGAGGAAGCAGGTCCCCAGGGGAGGACTTTGAGAGTTCCTCAGCCTTCCCAGATTTCCAGTCATCCTCTGCTTTCTCTGCCTGCTTGAAGATGTGAGCTCTCAGTTTTCTGCTCCAACCCACTCTGCTGCCTTCCTTCCCCCACCATTATGGGCTCTTACCCTCTGGAACCATAAGCCAAATAAATTCTTCCTCCTATAAATTGCCTTGGTCAACACCCATCTCTCATTTTCTTGGATTATACCCTGTTACAATTTATGAGAATTCTTCAAGGACAAAACCCAAGCCCTGGAGGTGGCTTAATGCCTTTTCTTATGTGTTCACATGAATGTCCACATGTGTGCCCATTCATGTGGAGGCTAGAGAACAACCTCATGGATGTCAGGCACTGTAGATTTCTTGAAGGAACATTCAAGATTATATGTAATGTGTTTGATTACAGAATGAAGCTAAATGCAGTAATGAGTTCTTAAGGAAAAGGGGAGGAGGTGTTTGTCTCCACTACAAGTATTGGTGTTTATGGGCTCTGAGGTCTTGAAATAGGTTCTTATCAATTCATTTAAGCATCTAATTAACAATGTTTCCCTCTTTATTGGTTACTTCCAAATTCAATGACTAAGTACTAATACTAATACATATAAGTACATGTGACACAAAAATTTTAAGGGACATATTAAAAGCTTAAACACTTTTGACCAAGACATTTTATCCTTAACAGCGGAAGGAAAATGATTTAGAACACATTTACTTTTTGTTTGAGTTGTTAACAACAGGTAAAATGTTCTTTAACTAATAAGGAATTTAATCGTAAATGCCTTGTCACTTAATTGACTATTTTTGGCTTCTTATTAGGGTGGAAAGAAAGGAGCGTGCCCGATTGAAGACAGTGAAGTTCAATGCAAAACCTGGAGTGATTGATTCAAAAGGGGTAGGTACAAATTAACAGAAACATTAAGTTCTCTCGGTTGCTGTAGATTTAGTGATAAGTAACATTCAGCCTTTTAATAACAAAGAAACAATAGAGCCACTATACAGGAGAGCACTGTTACAAATGTACTGCAAGCAATAGTCATGTCATTTCTGATAAAGTGGGTCTATCATAAATATATTAAATGCTGGGGATAAAGCTAGTGATAAATATGTCATGTTAATGAAGATAGTATGTTGACTATAATGAAGAAAACAACAGAGTTTAGGTGTCTTCATTTCTTATTTTCATTTAAATTAATGTTCTAAAAGGTCATATTTCATAGAAGGTATCTGTTCATCTGAAAATATATCTAGTTTGACACACATTATAAAGTTAAGACTGTAATGGAAATGTAGATGTGATTCATTTAAGTGAATACGTAGATTGTTGTGACAGACATAGGAGAGAATTAACAAAATTAACACTCACCCATATGTGTCTTCTTAATAACAGTTTTAATGGCATATAATTCAAATATCATACAGATTATTTGCTTAAATTTAGAATTGTGCAGCCATCACTACCATCAGTTTTGGAGAATTCTATCACTTCATAAAGACATCCTGTAGAGATTAGCAATCATGTCCCACTTTCCCAGCCTCCCATCCCTACCCAACCTCAGTGAGTAATGTACTTTGTGTCTTTATAGATTTGTCTGCAAATATTTCATATAAGTGGAATATGGTCTTCATAGCTTCTATTTCCATGATGCATTATTGTTTCAAGTTGCATTTATGTTGTCAAATATATGCAAATAACTACTCATTTTTATTGTCATAAAATTCTGTTGTATGGACACACCACATTTAGTATATTCGTTCATCCATTGGCAGACATTTGTGTTGTTTCCAATTTTTAGCAATTATGGACAATGATACCATGAACATCTGTGTAGAAATTTTACTGTGGACATTATTTTTACTGAGTATATACCTCATAAAATCACCTCAGCAATATGATGCCTCTATACCTTAATACTTTGAGGAACTGCCACGTTTCCAGAGTGGTTGTAACATTTCATCTTTCCACCATCAGGGTATGTGTGTCTCAGCTTCTCCACATGCTCACCAACACTTGTTATCATCTGTTGATATGAAGTAGTATGTTATTGTGGTTTTGATTTATATTTCTTTAATCAATGCAGATGTTGAGCTTCTATTCATACGCTATTGGTGTATCTTCTGAGAAGTGTCTACGCAGATTCTTTGCCAATTTTTAAACTGAAATCATCATGTTATCATTGCTGGATCATGGGGGCTCTTCATATACTGTTTTTATTTTATTTTTCTGTGTGTCTGTGATGTATGAATGTGAGAGTATATGTAGAGGCCCAGGGTTCATGTTGGAAATCTTCTTCCATTAGTCTTCCACCTTATTCTTTCGAGACAGCATCTTTCATTCAAACCCAGAGCTCACCAACTTGCTCTGCAGATCTCCTGTCCCTGTCTTCTGAGGTTGGAATTATAGGCAAGCCACCACATCCACCCAGAATTTACTTGGGTTCTCCCCTGTCTTGCAGCCACTTTACCCACTGGGCCATCTCCCAAGCACTATACTCTATTTTTAAAATTATTTATCAAAAATTGCTTCCCAAGCTCTTTTCCATTTTCTGTGTTTTCTTTATGCTCTCTTGACAGTGTTCTTTGAGACACAAGTTTTAAATTTTGATTAACTCCAATTTGTCCATTTTTTTACTTCTTTTTTATGTAGTATCTAAGAAACCATTTTCTAATCTAAGGTTATAAAAGTTTTTGTCACATTTTCTTCTAAGAGTGTTATAGTTGTATCTCTTACGTTTAGGTGTTTAATCCATAGTTTTACTATATGGAAAGGCTCTGGGTTCTGTTTTATTTCTTTTCATATAAATTATTTGCTTAATTTCATTTTAGATTGTTCATGGCAAATGTATAGGAATATAGTTATTGTTTCATGTAGATCTTATATCCTATACTCTATGACCTCTGAAAATCCATTTATTAGCTTTGATAGTTTTTAATGGATTTCTTATATAGAAGATTATGCCATCTACAACAAGGGAATTTTGGCTTTTTTGCTCCAATTTGGATGACTTATATTTCCTTCATGCGTAAATGCCCATGCCTGAACTGCACATAAAATGTTGGATAGAAATGTGAAGGGCAACTATCTTTGTCTTACTCTTGATCTTAAAAGAGTTTAGTTTTTTACTCTCAGCCTTTAAAAAATCGATTTCTTGAAGAAGTAAGACTCATATCTTAATGTTGTGTTGTAAAATAATTCTAGTTTTTTACATCCTGGTCTCTTTTTCTTTGTGCTTTTTCCTTTCTTTTTCTTCCATAACAACTGTGGCTTGTGATGTGCCACAAGTTATGGTCAATAGGTGTCATGCTCGGCTTGAGTTGTCAACTTGACACACCTGGGAAAATTTTGAGAACCTTAACTGGGGAATTCCTCTATCGGACTGGTTTGTGGGCATGTCTGTAAGGCATTTTCTTGGTTGTGATGTGGGAGGGCCCAGCCCACTGTGGTTGGTGCCACCCCTGGGCAAGTGGTTCTGGGATCTATAAGAAAGCAGGCTGAACACAAGTCAGAGGAACAAGCCAGTAGGCAGAACTCTTCCATGGTCTGTACTTCAGTTTCAGTCTCCATGTTCCTACATTCAGTTCCTGCCCCATGTTCCCTCCATGTTGGATTGTGACCTGGAAGTTGTAAGCTGAAATAAGCCCTTTCCTCACCAAATTGTTTTTGGTCAGTATTTTATTACATCGATAGAAAGCAAACCAGGATGGAAACTGGTACCAGAGAGTAGGGCTATTGCTGTGAAGGACCTGACCATGTTGTTTTTGGTTGGATTGTGGGAGCATTTGAAACTTTGGATTAGAAAACTCATTAAGTACTCAGAGCTTAATGAGCTATTGCTGTGGAGCTTAGAACAGTTATTCTGAGAGAAATATGGTTAATGGAGGTCTGGCCTGTGACGTTTCAGAAGGAAACAAAGATGCTATCAGAGCAGTTTGTGTGATATATTTTGGATCAAGAATATGTGGAAGTGAAAGCTTTTGTGTTTTACTGAGACAGCTGATGCTCATTATCTGGGACCGAAAAATAAACTGTGATTTATAAGAGACTAGCATCACTGAGATGAAATCTTCTGAGAAGCATTTCCTTGGGGTCATCAAACAGAACCTGTAGTCCAGAGGGCACCAAAGCTACATCTTAAACTGGAAGCCAAACTTATATAAAAGTATCACATGTGGTACTGGTTTGGGCAAATTGAAGAAGTCGTGGAAAGAAGCTAAGACTTTGCATCATGAGAGACCAGAGAAGCCATTGATGAAGGTATAGCCTCATTTGTAGTAGAAACCCTATATCAAAGGAGTTATTAGGAGAATCTGAAGCTTGGCACCTTGTGAGGTCAGGAGAGGCTGTTGGTGAAGGTGGATTCTTAGTTGCAATGAAGGCCCTAGGATATAGTAGAGATGCTAGGACTGTGAAATGACCACTAAGGACAGAAGCAGACAGGTGTAGAGTGGAGCCACCCAAACCTACAAGACAAGTTGTGTGTGCTGTGGACAGCAGAGCTAGAAGTGGTGCTGCCCAAGTCCTTTGGAACCAGAAGCTCATGATAGAGTCCCAAATGTTCGACTTTAGGCTATACTGCTCAACTTTGGTTTTGATTATATATGCTCAGTTCTTTCCTCTGAAATAATTAGTTTTTAACTTGTTTTTTATTTTATAAGAGTCCACAGTTAAGAGGATTATTGAATTATTTTAATGAAACATTGGACTTTTTAAGTTTTTATTATTTTTATTTAATGTGTATGAGTGCATTGCTTGCATGTATGTGAGTGCACCTGTGTTGTGAAATGCCTGCAGAGGTCAGAAGAGGGCAACGGATCCTCTGGACCTGGAGTTATGGACAGTTGTAAGCTGCCATGTGGGTACTGGGAATGGAACCCAGGTCCTCTGCAAGAGCAGCCAGTGCTGTTAACTGCTGAACCATCTCTCCAGTCCCAAGAGACACCGAACTTTAAAGTGATAGGATTTTTGAGGACTGTGTGACTTTTAAAGTTGTATTATGTTTTATACTGTGAAATTAATGTGAGATCTTGCAGATAGACAAAGAAAGGAAAGGTTTAAAATGATGTGTTTGTGTATCAAGGTAGACACGGGTAGAATGTCATGGTTGGCTTGGGTTGTCAACTTGACACACCCAGGAAGAGGAAACCTCAGTTGGGGAATTTCCTCTATGGAACTAGCCTATGGGCATGTCTACAAGGCATTTTCTTGACTGTTGGGTGGTGTGGAAAGGCCCAGCCCACTGTGGTTTGTGCCACTCCTGGCCATATGGTCCTGAGTTGTATAAGAAAGCAGCCTGAGAACAGGCCAGTGGAGCAAGCCAGTAAGCAGTGTTCCTCCAGATTCCTGCCTTGACTTCTCAACTTCTCTCTGTGCTATGCTGTGCCCTGGGAATTGTAAACTGACACAAACACTGTCCTCCCCAAGTTTCTGTCATTTTTTTAAAAATGAAGGTCTGTGGCATCATGGCATACAGTCTTTTAAAATAAATTCCACTTTAATATAAGATGGAGGAATTTTCAGTGATTCTTGATGAGAACTTGAGAATAGATATCCTGTTTTTTTCTGTATAGTTGTTAAATATCAGAATTTATGCTATCTACCTGTGTCAGATACAGGCTTTAGACTTGTGCAATATACAGAGTATAATATTGACCTTTCTTCCCCAAAGTTGCAACATCAATGTGAGGCCAACTGTCTTTTTGGTAAAGCCAGAACATGCGTAGAACCCTCCTAAATTGTATGTGTTAAACAGCATTAGATGGTGACTAAAATGTTAACTCGAGAACTTGAATGGGCTTTTGAAGAAGAATATAAGAAGCGAGCCTAAGACTGAAAGTCAGAACAGCAGCCTATGTTCTGGTTTCAGTTCATTACTAAGTCACCAAGGTTTTTGGACC